TAGCTTCTTTGTGAATGTATCACAAGCTAGGATCTTATCTGCAGATAATAAAAGATCTTCCTTGGCTGAAAAATCACCTTCTCATCTTGCTGCTGGATGATTGTAATTGGGGCTGATCTGAATGCTCGCCTACAGCAGGGACTCACTAGTATTAGAATCATAGAATCAAAGAGTTGGAAGAGACCTCATGGGCCATCCAGTCCAACCCCATTCTGCCAAGAAGCAGGAATATTGCATTCAAAGCACCCCTGACAGATGGCCATCCAGCCTCTGTTTAAAAGCTTCCAAAGAAGGAGCCTCCACCACACTCCGGGGCAGAGAGTTCCACTGCTGAACGGCTCTCACAGTCAGGAAGTTCTTCCTCGTGTTCAGGTGGAATCTCCTCTCTTGTAGTTCTAAGCCATTGTTCCATTGCGTCCTAGTCTCCAGGGAAGCAGAAATGAAGCTTGCTCCCTCCTCCTCCCTGTGGCTTCCTCTCACATATGTATACATGACTCTCATATCTCCTCTCATCCTTCTCTTCTTCAGGCTAAACATGCCCAGCTCCTTAAGCCGCTCCTCATAGGGCTTGTTCTCCAGACCCTTGATCATTTTAGTCACCCTCCTCTGGACACATTCCAGCTTGTCAATATCTCTCTTGAATTGTGGTGCCCAGAATTGGACACAATATTCCAGGTGTGGTCTAACCAAGGCAGAATAGAGCATGGGGAGCATGACTTCCCTAGATCTAGACACTATGCTCCTATTGATGCAGGCCAAAACTCCATTGGCTTTTTTTGCCGCCACTTCACATTGTTGGCTCATGTTTAACTTGTTGTCCACGAGGACTCCAAGATCTTTTTCACACGTACTGCTCTCGAGCCAGGCATTGTCCCCCATTCTGTATCTTTGCATTTCATTTTTTCTGCCAAAGTGGAGTATCTTGCATTTGTCACTGTTGAACTTCATTTTGTTAGTTTTGGCCCATCTCTCTATCTGTTGGGAACCTTTGGCCCTCCAGCTGTGGTGGACTTCAACTCCCACAATTCCTTGAGGCTCGGCATTCGCCCCAAAGGCTTACCTTGGCCCAACGAGGTTTGTTTGGCTCTTTTTCATGGAGGACGGGCAGCAAAGGGGGAGAGACGAGCGTAACGTAGCTGTGCAGATGGCGAGGAAGGATGCGGAGCCCACAGACTGGCCTCGGAGGGAGAGAGCGGGCGGAAACCCCTGCGGGCAACGCGCTTCCTCGCCGCTTCGGCCCTTAGCACCCGCCCCGCATGGACCCCCTCCCTAGCAACGACGCCGGCTGAGTGACGTCGTGCAGAGCTTGTCGGGGAAAAGGGAAGGCGAAGGCTGGAGGGAAAGGGCTCTGCGCTGTTTAAGCGGCGAGGAGGCGCGTTGCCCGCAGGGGTTTCCGCCCGCTCTCTCCCTCCGAGGCCAGTCTGTAGGCTCCGCATCCTTCCTCGCCATCTGCACAGCTACGTTACGCTCGTCTCTCCCCCTTTGCTGCCCGTCCTCCATGAAAAAGAGCCAAACAAACCTCGTTGGGCCAAGGTAAGCCTTTGGGGCGAATGCCGAGCCTCAAGGAATTGTGGGAGTTGAAGTCCACCACAGCTGGAGGGCCAAAGGTTCCTGACCCCTGCTCTAATCTGTCAAGATCGGTTTGAATCCTGACATTCTAGCTTTTTTGTGAATGTATCACAAGCTAGGATCTTATCTGCAGATAATAAAGATCTTCCTTGGCTGAAAAATCACCTTCTCATCTTGCTGCTGGATGATCTGAATGCTCGCCTACAGCAAGGACTCACTAGAATTGGGCAGCTCAGACTTATCACTTGTCCGAGTTTCTGCCAACAGGCTTCTTCCTGGTCTCACTGCCAGGTGCTGCCTCCTAAAATTGGAGCCAACACTATGAAACCCCGTCGTGACCCCCTGAGGGGTCCTGACATCCAGGTTGAGAAATGCTGGTTTAAAATACAGAAGAAGATCTACAAGCCACTCTCAACACCTTTGCAGAAGAATACACGAAGCTTGGCCTGTCATTAAACATTGAGAAAACCAAAGTGCTGTTCCAGCATTCACCAGCCATCCCCTCCCCAATGCCAGAGATACAGCTTAATGGTGTAACATTAGAAAATGTTGACCATTTCCACTACCTTGGCAGCCACCTCTCCACCAAAGTCAACATTGACGCCGAAATACAACACCGCCTGAGCTCTGCAAGTGCAGCATTTTCTCAAATGAAGCAGAGAGTGTTTGAGGACCGGGACATCCGTAGGGATACCAAGGTACTTGTCTATAAAGCTATTGTCCTCCCAACCCTGCTTTATGCCTGTGAAACGTGGACTGTCTACAGACGTCACATGCAGCTCCTGGAACGATTCCATCAGCGCTGCCTCCGGAAAATCATGCAAATCTCCTGGGAAGACAAGCGGACAAATGTCAGCGTGCTGGAAGAAGCAAAGACCACCAGCATTGAAGCGATGGTCCTCCAACATCAACTCCGCTGGGCCGGCCACGTTGTCCGGATGCCCGACCACCGTCTCCCAAAACAGTTGCTCTACTCTGAACTTAAGGACGGAAAACAGAACGTTGGTGGACAGGAAAAGAGATTTAAAGATGGGCTCAAAGCCAACCTTAAAAACTCTGGCATAGACACTAAGAACTGGGAAGCCCTGCCCTTGAGCGCTCCAGTTGGAGGTCAGCTGTGACCAGCAGTGCTGCAGAATTCGAGGAGGCACGAGTGGAGGGTGAAAGAGAGAAATGTGCCAGGAGGAAGGCCGTCAAGCCAACCCCGACTGGGACCGCCTTCCACCTGGAAACCAGTGCCTTCACTGTGGGAGAAGATGCGGGTCAAGAATAGGGCTCCACAGCCACCTACGAACCCACAAGTACACTGGAAGACCATCTTACTCGTCCAACGAGGGATCACCTAAAAAAAAAATCTACAGGATTCATGAGCAGGGTAGGGGATACATTTTGGATTGAGAAGATTGCTTGGTAATGTAATCACATGTACTGCAACTCCCCAAAATTACCATATTTCATCACACAATCGTACACTTATTTCCTTTTTCAGAAACCTTTTTTTTAATTCGGAAATAGTTTAATACAACAATGTTGAAAACAACTTGATAACAGATCAAAGAGTCAAGGGAACAAATCCACATAGTTGAACATTTTGATCTTCCTTCTCTACAGCTCTTCCAGAGGACATGATGCTGTGTCTTGCAGGGCGGCTGCCCCCCACCCTGTGGCCACTGGAATGTCAATTGGTGAAAGTGGGAGGAACTCTCCACAGCTTCTGCAGAGGACATTGTAGTTTTGAGTCCCTCCAGAGGTGAGAAAAGTGGTATAGAAATACAATAAATAATCTCAATATTTATATTCTACTAGCTGTACCCTGTCTTGTCTGTCGAGAAGACAATTATGCTGGGGAAAGTGGAAGGCAAAAGGAAGAGGGGCCGACCAAGGGCAAGATGGATGGATGGCATCCTTGAAGTGACTGGACTGACCTTGAGGGAGCTGGGGGTGGTGACGGCCGACAGGGAGCTCTGGCGTGGGCTGGTCCATGAGGTCACGAAGAGTCGGAGACGACTGAACGAATGAACAACAACAACTAGCTGTACCCGGTCACGCGTTGCTGTGGCCCCCAGCAAACAGAAGATTTCCAGACATGAAACAATCTGGGCTAGGGAACTCCTCCCACCAAAGGTTTCCTGCTGGCTGATAGAAGCCAGGCTTTTAAGGTGCTAGGCTATTCAAAGGTAATCCAGGTGGACAATTGCAACATTCACACTTGACTCAAGTAGAAATCGAGGGGCGCCTGGAGTCGTTTTTGTGCATGCACTGTAATGTCTTTTTTGTTTTTGGGGTTTTTAAGTCCTTTCCACTGTTTGTTTTTAGGTTTTTATGAGTGATGGTCACTCGTTGACCTGATAGGTGTCTTGTGGCCAAATTTGGTATCAATTCGTCCAATGGTTTTTAAGTTATCCTAATTCCACAAACGAACATTGCATTTTTATTTGTATAGATATAATAAACGTGAATAAACATGTGTATGTAGCAGGGATGTCTGCTTACACAAAGTCCCACTTCCACAAACAGGCTACAGTTTCCACTGAGCAGAGACACCCATGTGACCCTCCCAAAATTGACATTGCAGGTTATAGAGAGTGCCAAGAACATGTCCAAGAGCCCTTACAATGTCCTTCACAGTGCCATACTGTCCACTACCCAAGTGAAGGCTTTCAGATGGGGACAATTTCATCCTAGATTTTATGTTTTTCTTCCACCAAAGTCACCTCCCGGGGTTCCTTTCTCTCTCAATTGGTGTGGAATTTACATGACCCCACCCACTGCCTGTCCCCTAGCCCTTTGCATGATGTAGTGAATTCCCTACCTGTTAGGCTAGGAAAAGCCTAACAGGAAAAGAGAGCTAGGAGGAGCAAAGAGATAGATCCAGGATAGGACTATCTGTGCTGTTTAGAATTACTTTCAGAGAGGCAATCCTGTTAGTAAATTCTGTGGAGGGGGAGAGATGTGTTCCTGTGTAACTAAGTCTGAACTGCCTAAAGTAACCACATGTTTTTAAGTCAATACTCTGAAAGCGCTAAGCTTTATACCTGAATTGATCCAGTTCTCTTAAATAAACATCATTGTTTTGTAGTTCACAACATCTGCCTCACGTGTGCCTCTGTGGGTGAAGTTTTAAAAGCAGTTTCCTGCAGCAAACAAGAGTCTATGGTGGCAGTGTATCATTTAAAGAAAAATCTTTTAGCGTTACCTCAGAACACAAGCCTGAGGGCTAATCCAACACACTCCTGCCTAAGATACTTCCAATAAGCCAAGGGTTTATCAGTGCTTTTAAATTGGTAGCAGCCAGAGGGTTCTTTCAAAAGGTTTTTTGGCCAGAAGAAAGTTCCAGCTTTCCTTACAGATTTTTGTTTTGGCTTTTTAATTGAGAGAAGTCACCTTCATTTTTAAATGGTGTCCTGCCTTTTAGGGATTTTGTGTTATACATGACCCCTCCCATTGCCTCTCACTTAGCCCTTTCCTATGGCACACAACAAACAGAGGAATTGATCAGCAACTGAACATTCTGTAGGGGGTTGGGGCACAGACTCCACAGGATGGAAGTTGTAGTTCACCCTGCATCAGGACACAGGACTGTGACTTCCACTGCCAATGGACCTGGACCACATTTTGCACTCAACCCCCCATGACCAACAAAACATACTGGAGGGATTTGGGGGGAATTCACCAAGATTTATAGCTGTTGTAGGTACTGGGATTTATAGTTCACCTGCATTCAACAGCACTCTGGACTCGATTACAATGAACCTGGAACTAACTTGGCACACAGAACCCCCATGACCAAGAAAAAACACTGGAGGTCTTTGGAGGGATTTATAGGAGTTGTACTTGACCTACATCCAGAGAGCACTGTTACCCAACCAATGGATCTGGACCCAATTCCTCTGTTTGCTGTGTGCCGTTGGAAAAGGTTAAGGGAGAAGCAGTGGGTGGGGTCATGCAAACTCCACACCAATGGAGAAAGGAACCCTGGAGTTTCAATTCTGGAGGAAAATGGAACATCTAGGATCCTGCATGAAAGCCTTCACTTGAATGGTGGGCAATATGGTGTTGGTGGAGGACATTGGCAGGGCTCTTGGACATGTTCATATTCATGACGCTCACTATAACCTGCAATGTCAGTGGAAGGGAGGGACGTGTGCAAAGTATTGCTGTTTGTGGAAGTGGGGGTCTGTCTGTGTAAGTGGACACCCCTGCCACATACACATTTTCATTTTTATTATATGTGTGTTTAGGTAAAATATTAAGATCTCTAAGGAGACAAATTGGAGATAAATTTGTCTAATAAAACAAATCATAACCTTGGGTTAGTAAGACATTTCCTGGAATGTTAGTATCAAGTTCTGGGTCCTGCAAAATGTGGTAAATTGTAATGAACTAAGAAATGAACAATTATTTCCACTGAATTTCATTCCACATTCCATGCATTCACATAGTTTCACCTGTGTGAGTTATTTGATGTTTCTCATAAGATCGACTTCCCCTGAAGGCTTTTCCACATGACAGGCATTTATACGGGGTCTTCCCTGTGTGGGCCCTTAGATGTGTATTATATGACCCACTTTGCCTATAGCTCTTTCCACATTCCATACATTTATATGGCTTCTCTCCTGTGTGGGTCCTTTGGTGGCAATGTAGACTTCCACTATGGTTAAAGCTCTTTCCACATTCCATGCATTTATATGGCTTCTCCCTTGTGTGGGATCTTTGATGTAATTGTAGATTGTTACTACGCGAGAAGCTCTTTCCACATTCCATGCATTTGTACGGCTTCTCCCCTGTATGGGTCATTAGATGGTAATGCAGGTGTGTGGCCCGACTGAAGTTTTTCCCACATTCAATGCACTTATATGGCTTTTCCCCTGTGTGAGTTTTCAGATGGTTATTACATGTCTGATCATTACTGAAGCTCTTTCCACATTCCGTGCATTCATATGGTTTTTCCCCTGTGTGGGTCCTTAAATGCGAACGTAGGTGTGCACTCTGACTGAAGCACAATCTACATTCTATGCATTGATAGGGCTTCTCCCCTGTGTGGGTCCTTTGATGAGAACGCAGATGGTCACTTCGGCTGAAGGTCTTTCCACATAGCATACATTCGTATGGTTTATCTCCTGTGTGAGTTCTTAGATGCTTATGACAATTTCCACTGTCACGGAAGCTCCTCCCACATTCAACACACTTATATGGCTTCTCCCCTGTGTGGGATCTCTGATGTGAATGCAGACTTCTACTGTCACTGAAGTGCTTTCCACATTCCATGCATGTATATGCTTTGTCTCCTTTGTGGAGCCAGGCATCTATGTTTAACTGTGTGTGGCAGTTGCAAATTCTCCCACAGTCAGGGCAGTCAATCTTATTTGATTCTGAGATTAGAGGTTCGGAATGAGCAGCCTGGTGGAAGGAAGAGAAGGTCTTTGGGCTTTTCACTTGGACGTTGTTTTCTATTTCCATTCTCTTTTGCTTTCCAAGCTCCTGCTTTTCCATGATTGGCTCCCTATAGTTCTCATTCTCCTGCTGACTTCTTTTTTGAGGGGGAAAAAGAAAAGAAAAATCTATTAGCACAGAAATCAGCCAGGAACATCAATGCCATTGCCTCTTTTAATTCTAAAAGGAATGGGATAAAAAGTTAAGGGGAAATTTTTTAGACAAAATAGGGGATTGGGTTAAGGTTGGAATGAAGAAGGAAATGATTATGGAAGAATTTAGAGAAGTAAAATTGACATGGTTGCATTGTATACAATTAGAACAATAATTTAAAAACTGGGAAAAATGAATAAAAACGGAAGTAAGCTTAACCAATTCGAACAAATAGTACAAAATGGAAGGGTTGCAGAGGAGCATGAACATTTGAAAGGAATAACTAGTAAAGCATAGAAGAAAATAATTGAAATAAAAAAAGGAAAAACAAAACATAATATCCTCAAGGAGGTCTGGGAAGAAGATTTAGGGATAAAAATAAATGAAACAGTGGCAACAATTATGGAGACAAAGACATCTAAAAAATCTATCAATACGGGTTAAATAAAATTATTATAAGTTAATATGGAAATATTCTAACACCAGTAAGTTAATATTCTAACACCAGTAAGAATAGCAAATATAAATAAAAACTACTCAAAAAATTGCTGAATCAGGAACATATATACATATGTGGTGGCAATGTAAATATGTAAATAATTTTGTGGGGAAAGCATTTAGAGAAATAGAAGATATAATGAACATTAAAATAGAAAGAACTCCTAGCATAGCTTTATTATGATTATATAATGATAAACAATTGAAAAAAGAGGATAAACATGCGATAACAAACTTATTAACAAAAGCAAGACTGGTTTTAGCAAGGAATTGGAAAAGAGAAATAAATATTCAATAGAGGAGTGGTACAAGGAAGTCTGGAAATTGGCAATAAATGATAAGCTGACGTGTATATCAAAAGTCGGGAAGTAGCAGCCAATAGTGAAAGGACCAAGGCAGAGACATCTCCAGCTCATCCCCTGTTTGGGTATCAGCCAGCACATCAACGACTTAAATCAAGAAATAGTTTTCTAAGATCTACAGAGACACTCGCTGGAACACCTCAGCAAGCGAGAGTCCAAAAGTGGCAGGCTCAAACCCAGAATCTCAACCAATGGCTGATACTAAATGACAAACTCCCCCCTGGGTACACACAAGCCTGGGCGACTTGGAAGGCGCTGAACAGACTGCGCTCTGGCACCACGAGATGTAGAGCCAACCTCAAGAAATGGGGCTACAAAGTGGAATCCTCGACATGCGAGTGTGGAGAAGAGCAAACCACTGACCACCTGCTGCAATGCACCCTGAGCCCTGCCACATGCACAATGGAGGACCTTTTTTGCAGCAACACCAGAAGCACTCCCAAGTGGCCAGATTTAATCAACTACCAAACTCACAAATTTTGTATTTTGTCTGTTTGTTTGCTTTGTTCTGTTAGAAATGTAATATAATTGACTGGTTGCCCTGACACGACAAATAAATAAATATCAAAAGTTAAAAGAGGTATATGGAAACAAAGTGATTTTGATGAAATATGGAGAAAATGTATTGAAAAAGTATTTAAAAAGTAAGAAGGAAATTTTGGACAGATGATATGTAAATGCTGTGGCTTGGGGAAAAAATTAAATATTAAAGAAAAATAAAGGAAAAAAGAAAATTAAAAAAATTCTAAAAGGAACGGATATGTGTCCATTTCTCTCTCTGTTTTGGTGATACATCAGCTGTGCCCGTACCTTGGGAAGTCAGACTTGGCCACGGTGGTCCACGCTCTTGTTACATCTAGGATAGACTACTGCAACGCACTCTACGTGGGGTTGCCTTTGAAGACTACTCAGAAGCTTCAAATAGTCCAACGAGAGGCAGCCAGGTTAATAACTGGGGTGGCATACAGGGAGCACACAACTCCCATGTTACGCCAGCTCCACTGGCTGCCAGTTTGCTACCGGGCACAATTCAAAGTGCTGGCTTTGGCCTATAAAGCCCTCAACAGCCCCGGCCCAAATTACCTGTCCGAACACATCTCTCCCTATGAACCATCGCGGAGATTAAGATCCTCTGGGGAGGCCCTGCTTTCCGTCATGCCATTATCACAGGCGCGATTGGTGGGGACGAGAAACAGAGCCTTCCCAGTGATTGCTCCCTGGCTATGGAACTCCCTTCCTGGTGAGATCAGGTCGGCCCCCTCCCTCCTGTCCTTTAGAAGGATGGTCAAAACTTGGCTGTGGGACCAAGCTTTCGGGACAGGGCAATAAAGCGGCAATAGGAAAGATGACCAGGCCAAAGTATTAGATTTGATGTGAATGACTAGGACGGTTTTAAATGGGATATTTTAATATTTTGATGAATGTTTTTTAATGTTTATGTATTGTATGTGAATTTGTGTCCCGGCGTTGAATGTTTGCCGCATGTATGCTGAGTCCCCTTCAGGGTGAGGGCAGAATATAAATGTTTTAAATATATAAATAAACTAGCTGCCCCCTGCCAGGCGTTGCTGTGGCCCAGTCTGTTGATCTGGAAAATAAAGTAATGAGAAAGGGTTGGTTTCTAATCTATGTAATTTATTTATGCTTGTGAGTAAACAGTATTTTTTGTTGTTTCTTTGTCAGTGTTGATGTGGAGAGTGTCTGGTTTGCCTACTCTGGAACATGCAACATATCATTGTCCTTCTTTAGGGGTCCCTTTCAAATCTATGATACTATATCTGTGTGTATGTGAATCATATCTATCTATGTATCTATGTATCTATGTATCTATGTATCTATGTATCTATGTATCTATGTATGTATGTATGTATGTATGTATCTATCTATCTATCTATCTATCTATCTATCTATCTATCTATCTATCTATCTATCTATCTATCTATCTATCTATCTATATCTATGGCTGGATGGCTCTTTGTCGGAAGGGCTTTGATTACGTTTTCTTGCCCTGATGAAGGGAGTTAGATTGAATGGCCTTAAGTATTTTCTGTTGGTCATGGGGGTTCTGTATGGGAAGTTTGCCCCAATTCTGTCGTTGGTGGGGTTCAGAATGCTCTTCGATTGTAGGTGAACTGTGAATCCCAGTGACTACAACTCCTAAATGTCAAGGTCCATTTCCCCCAAACTCTATCTGTGTTCATATTTGGGCGTGTTGAGTATTCGTGCCAAGTTTGGTCCAGATCCATCATTGTTTGAGTCCACAGTGCTCTCTGGATGTAGGTGAACTACAACTCCCAAATTCAAGGTCAATGCCCACCAAACCCTTCCAGTATTTTCTGTTGGTCATGGGAGTTCTGTGTGCCATATTTGGTTCAATTCCATCATTGGTGGAGTTCAGAATGCTCTTTGATTGTAAATCCCAGCAACTACAATTCCCAAATGACAAAATCATAATTTTTTTGAGTGATGGTCACTCCTTGTGTTGTGAGACATTTTGTTGCCAAATTTGATGTGATTTCGTTCATTTGGTTCTTTTGTTTTTAAGGAACTCATTATGCACAGAGCATTTTTATATATATAGATATCATAGAATCATAGAATCCAAGAGTTGGAAGAGACCTCATGGGCCATCATCCAGTCCAACCCCATTCTGCCAAGAAGCCGGAATATTGCATTCAAATCACCCCTGACAAATGGCCATCCAGCCTCTGCTTAAAAGCTTCCAAAGAAGGAGCCTCCACCACACTCCGGGGCAGAGAGTTCCACTGCTGAACGGCTCTCACAGTCAGGAAGTTCTTCCTCATGTTCAGATGGAATCTCCTCTCTTGTAGTTTGAAGCCATTGTTCCATTGCGTCCTAGTCTCCAGGGAAGCAGAAAACAAGCTTGCTCCCTCCTCCCTGTGGTTTCCTCTCACATATTTATACATGGCTACCATATCTCCTCTCAGCCTTCTCTTCTTCAGGCTAAACATGCCCAGTTCCCTAAGCCGCTCCTCATAGGGCTTGTTCTCCAGACCCTTGATCATTTTAGTCGCCCTCCTCTGGACACATTCCAGCTTGTCAGTAGTTTCCATTTCCATTTGAGAAGTGGATAACCCGGAGGAGGAGGAAGAGGAAGAGGAGGAAGAAGAAGAATCTTCTTCAAGTGATAAGCAAGGTGAACCCTAGCTGAGGTGCAATAATATGGGCAAAGGGACATGATATACAAGAGGGAAATGATGCATCTATTTTTAAAAGCCAAAAGAACCTTACCCAGAGGCCATATTCTCACAGGTCTCCATTGTATTTTCTACATACGACGCACACTGGACTTGACGCAGGACTCTCCGCTCCTTCTTGGTGAAACACACAACAGCCTCCTTAAAGGAATCCAGGGGCTGAAAGACAAAAGATGGAGAAGAACATTGCTGAAATACAAAGAGTCTTGGCTTAGTTGTGGGATGACAGTGGTGACACTGAGCCCCCGGTAGCACAGTGGGTTAAACCCCTGTGCTGGCAGGACTGAAGACCGACAGGTTGCAGGTTCAAATTCGGGGAGAGGCGGATGAGCTCCCTCTATCAGCTCCAGCTCCTCATGCGGGGACATGAGAGAAGCCTCCCACAAGGATGATGAAAACATCAATTCATCCGGGCGTCCCCTGGGCAACGTCCTTGCAGACGGCCAATTCTCTCACACCAGAAGCAACTTGCAGTTTCTCGAGTCGCTCCTGACACGACAAAAAATAAATAAATAGTGGTGACACTTAAAGGCAAGGTTGAATAATAAGTTCAAGACATTTGTGGTGAAGGGGCAAACTATTCATATTCAAAACCAGAAATGTGCCATCAAAGAGTTCCGGCAAATTATGAATTCTACTGTGATTTTTCTGCTTCTTGGCTCACGAGGTCTCTTCCATTATTTATTTATTTATTAATTATTTATTTACAGTATTTGTATACCGCTTTTCTCACCCGTTGAGGGGGACTCAAAGCGGTTTACACATAAGTAATGGCAAAAATTCAATGCCAGTACAAACAATTACAATTCTACACTACAATTAGACATAAATTAAATTTAAAAATACATCCATGAGCAATAAAACAATCATTAAAACAATAAAACAGTCTCGTCCCTCGAATCGCCGTTCCAGTCATTGTCTTTCTGGAATACTGCATACATATGACTCTATGATTCTATGTTTTTTTAATGTTGTGAATCATTTTGGGTCTTAACTGAGAAATAAAAGTGGCCTATAAATGTAATAATAGTAATAATAATACCACCATATTTCACTGCATAATATTCACCACCACATAACAGTGACAATGTGGGGTCGTTTCGTCCCAAAATAGGTTCTTATTCTTTCATCACATAGTCTAGAAAAGAGAAAGTTAAGATGGGGCATGAAAGCCATTCTTAAATATTTATTTACTTCATTTATACCCCGCCTTTCTCACCCAGGAAGGGACTCAAGGCGGCTTACCAAATCTGGCAAGAATGCAATGCCGTAAACACACATTAAAAGGTAAAGGTTTTCCCTTGACATGAAGTCTAGTCATGACCATCTCTGGGGCTTGGTGCTCATCTCCATTTCTAAGCCGAAGAGCCAGCGTTCTCCATAGACACCTCCAAGGTCATGTGGCCACAGGCACAACTGCACAAAGTGTCGTTACCTATTGATCGACTCACATTTTAATGTTTTCGAACTGTTAAGTTGGCAGAAGCTGGGGCTAACAGCAGGAGCTCACCCCACTCCCCGGATTTGAACTGCCGGCCTTTCGGTCAGCAAGTTCAGCATCTCACCGGGTTGTGGTGCAGCTGGTTGGGAGTCAGCTGCATTAAAATCTCTACTGACCAAAAGGTCATGAGTTCGAAGCCAGCCCGGGTTGGAGTAAGCTCCTGACCATTTGTCTAGCTTGCTGTCGCCCTTTGCAGCCTGAAAGACAGTTGCATCCGTCAAGTAGAAAATTTAGGTACCACTTATGCAGGGAGACTAATTTAACTAATTTACGATGCCATAAAACTCTACGACTCTGGCCCAGCGTACCTATCCGAACGTATCTCCTTCTACGTCCCACCTAGGAATTTAAGATCTTCTGGAGGGGCCCTGTTCTCGACCCCGCCCTTGTCACAAACGAGACTGGCGGGGACGAGGGACAGCGCCTCCTTGGTGGTGGCCCCCCGCCTGTAGAATTCACTTCCTGGGGAAATTAGATCATCGTTATCCCTCCTCTCTTTTAGAAGGAAATTTAAAACGTGGATATGGGACCGGGCATTTGGGTAATTTGGCAGATTGACAAGGATAATGATGACAAGAGCTTTGGAAATGGATTATGATAAGCTGAATGGCCCACTAAATATGGAACTTGCTGAAACAATGGCCACTAAGTTGGCTTGTTATGAGATTTTATTGTAATAATTTGATGGTTAATTATTTATAATTATTGTTGATATGTATTTTTGTTTAACTTTAGGCATCGAATTGTGCCGGCTGGAAGCCGCCCTGAGCCCCCCCTAGGGGGTTGAGAAGGGCGGGGTAGAAATGCGCGAAATAAATAACTAAATAAAACTCTCCAACAGCGTTCAAAAGAATGAGAAAGTACTCCATAAGTGTCACAAGTGGGTGGTGAAGCGACAGCTCCCCCGGTGGCCAGAATTCACAATGCATACCCTCATGAAGCTGGAAAGTTAAATAGCCTCTGTGTGTCTGTCTATATATGTTGTGTGTCTATGGCACTGAATGTTTACCATGTATATATACATTGTAATCCACCCTGAGTCTCCTGTGGGGGGAGAAGGGTGGAATATAAATACTGTAAATAAATAAATCTCAGAAGTTTGACCCGCTGCACCAAAGGGGCCTCCTAAACATATACATTACAATAATAAAGTTATTATTGTTGTTGTAACATACACATTACAATCATCATAATATAATAATAATAACTTTATTTTTATACTCCGCCACCATCTCCCCAAAAGGACTTGGGGCGGCTTACATGGGGGCCAAGCCCAGAGCATACAACATTTATCAGCTAAAACACAGTTAATAACATAACATATAATATAATATAAACAATCTAATTAAGAGGGTTGAATGAAAAGTAATGCCTCCACCTTTGTAACTCCTCCACAGATGGCAGTACTGCTATGCGGCAGGTACTGGATTGTTCAGTAGACTCTCCTCTACAGTTCCATTTTGGCGGGAAGCCTTAGCATTGAACGGTTGTATTGGTAAAGTGTGAAGTATGGAACTTTGAGCAGACGGTTGGTCGATGAGACTTAAGCAACGTGCAGTCCTTGAATTGTTGACAGCAGAAGGTGTCACCCCAAAGGAGATTACATGAGGCCGAGCCCACAATGCATCAATAACAAAAGCAATAACAACAAGTAATGCAAAACAATTAAAATAAATCTCATAAGCAAAAAATAAACAATCAACAATCAACAGTAACACACAAGCATTTAAAACCAATGGCCGGGCCAAATGTAATAGATTAAAATTAAAAAATAATGCTGGACATGAACAAGGTGGGATATAACTGAGATAGGATTTTCAAAGAGAGATGAGGGAATGCAGTCAGTCCTAAATCAATAGTAAAGTGCATTTTGAGGGCATATTGCTGAGAGTTTTCCTTATTCTGGGAAGGCACACTGGAACAGCCACGTTTTCAGGCTCCTCCTAAAGACTGCCAGAGTTGGGGCATGTCTGATGTCCTTAAGGAGTGAATTCCAGAGTCGAGGGGCCACCACCAAGAAGGCCCTCTCCCTCGTCCCCACCAATCACGTTCGTACACAGAAATGCCATTTTGGGGAGGAGGGAAGACTTTTTCCATTGCTCTAGAGCAGTGGTTCCCAACCTTTTTTTTTTTACCAGGGACTACTCTCCAACATTAATACCAAAAGGGTTACGAATCAGTTTTTGGTCAACTTTAAATTCAGTTTGGTTATTTGGGGTGCTAATGCAGAAAATTGCATTGGATAGACCACATCAGCTGTAGTTTCTGATACAGAACACATGCCATCCAGTATTCGCCATCTGCTCACCCACAGAAAACCATATTTAATAATCTAGAGCTGTGTGAAAGTTGGTAAATGTGATAAAAGCAGAATAAGCAGAAGCTTTACCACAATATTTAAACCAAGATATACACTGCAGTATAATAAAATGTCACTCAGGCTTGTGAAACAAGTAACAGTATCTTTACTTTAGTTCAAAGGTTCAAACAGGGTAACAATCTATACATCAGTCTCTTTGAATTCAGGCAGAGATCAGAGGAATAAAATAGTCCTTTTAAATAGTCTTTCAAATATGCCTCATGCCATAAAATGATCAGTCTTCAAGATAGTTGGCAGCCAGCATTATCTCTTCACTGTCCAAAAAGATAAAATGGCATTTCGTGTCAGGAATCAATTTCTGACGGCATAAAGACGTCACAAATTCCTTCCACGACATCATGACTGAATCAGTTCTCTCTGTGACATTCAGAAGCCACAGAGGGTGCTGGAAACTATGAAGCAACAAGTTCTAATAAGGAAACTGAGTAGAGGAGTAGATGGGCAGGAAAAGTCTATAAAAGGAAGTGGTGGTGGGAAAAAGTCAGTAGTGTCTTTCTTTGCTGCAGAGATACAAGCAATATATCCATTACAAAGCAAAACTGGCTTGTGAGTAGTCATTTAATATTGCTATATAGATCCTACAGACTGACAGTTAGAACCATTGATCTCAGCCGCTATCCAGAGGCAGCAGCCAATCAGAACACTGGCTCCTAGCACACTTAGCCAATCAGCTGCTGACACACCTATCTCCATTTAATTCACCATATCATGGTGTCCTTTTTCAAATCCTCACAAGCTGATGTGGTCTATCGAATGCAATTTTCTGAATCAGCACCACAAATAACCCCAGGAACAGGCCTAAAAACGAAGACACCAAATTTTTTGTGGTGGGCCGTTATTATCCGTGGATTTTGTTAATGCTCATGTTTAAAAAAAAGGAGGGGGCTGAGGTTGAAAAAAATACGAGACCCAAGAAACTGTCCCCAACAGCTTTCTCTCACCTCCTTGCCATGAACTCATGGCCACGAGGAAGGGGATGTGGTCCATGGGGTTGCAACTGTGTAGTAACAGTGAGGCCACGGACCATATGTGTCCACTGTGGACCACTGGTGGTCCACGGACAACAGGTTGGGAACCACTGCTCTATAGACTTGGAACACAGAGAAATGGATGCAAACTTCAGGAAAAGGGATTCCTCCTCAACTTTAGGAAGAACGTCCTGATGACAAGGGCTCTCTCATAGTAGAATCTGCTGCTGCCTCTGAGTTTGGTGGAGTCTCCTTCTCTGGTTTTAAGCAGAGCCTGGATGGCCATCAGTTGGGTGTGTTTTAATTGTGTCTTCTTGCATGGCAGAAGGTGGGGTTAGACTGGACGACCCTGGGGGGGGGGGTCTCTTCTAATTCTATGACTCAGGAAGAAGTAAAGTTTGACATTTTGAAAACAGTGTTGGACGAAGCGAGGTCTAATAAAAACAGTGTAGTCCGAAACGGACAAGAACATGCATCCTTTCCTTATGTATCTAGTAAAGGCTTCTTACCCAGAGAGGCTTCCTTGTAGAGAACCCTGAGGCCTGGATCCAGGAAAACCCTCTTGTTTTGGGGTGGAATTATACAGCCACTCCTCAAAGTAGATCTGGAGCTGAAAGGAAGGGAAAACACAAGATTATGTGT